GACAAAAGTTAAAAAATGGGCAGAAGTCTGATGATTGGTGGTAATTTGGCATCAAGTAGAAGTCTAATGAAAGTTTGGTGATAGATGGAAGTCTGACGATGGGTGGTAATTCAGCATCGGGTAGAAGTTAGACGAAAATCTAGTGATATGCAGAAATTCAATGATGGGTGGAAATTTGGCGTTAGGTAGTTATCCGACGAATGTATGACAATAGGTATAACTCTAGTGACAAGTGGAAATTCGACATTGGGTAGAAGTTTGATGAAAGTTTGAAGGCGGACATAATTCTAGTGATGGGTGGTAATTTGGAATCGAGTAGAAGTCAGATAAAGGACATAAGTCCAGCGATGGGTGGAAATTCAACGTCAGATAGAAGTTTGATAAATGTTTGACATCATGCAAAAGTCCAACGACGGGTGGAGAGATTAAGGATATAGTTGGAGGGTATGTTATAAATAGTAGTCGAGCGAAATGCCAATAATGGCTTTTCACTAGTTTAGTGACACACTAATAGTGTTAACTAAGTGGAGGCTTGATGATGATCATGTTATAATCTTTCTATGAATGAGAAGTTGCAGGAGATGCTTCAGTGTGTTGTAGAGTAGAGGTCAATAAAATCCGCCAAAGATATATGACCTATCTAAGGTTATATGTCAATGTGTTGCTCGATGATGTTAACCTATATGGAAGGGGTCGAGAGAATTCATAAAAAATGTGTAACCTATTTAAGGTTATATGTCAGAGGTTGAACATCAGAGCATTACTTGATGATGTAACCTTTGTGGAAGAGGTCGAGAGAATCCACCAAGGATGTGCGACCTATCTGAGATTGTCTATTAGAGAACTACTTAATGACGTTAACATGTATGGAAGAGGTTGATAACCCATCAAAGATGTGTGACATATCTGAGATTTTATGTTAGAGTATCGCTCAATGATGTTAACCTATATGGATGAGGTTGAGATAATCCATCATGGATGTATGACCTATCTGAGGTTATATGACATAGCATTGTTCGATGATGTTAACCTTATGGAAGAGGTTGAGAGAATCCATTAAGGATATGTGAGCTATCGAAGGTTGTATGTTAGAGCACTCTTCGATGATATTAACATGTGTGTAAGAGGTTGAGAAAATTCACTAAGGATATGTGACCCATCTGAGGTTATATATCAGAGCACTGCTCGGTGATATTAACCTGTGTGGAAGAGGTCAAGAGTATCCATCAAGGATATATGACCTATCCAAGGTTATATATTAGAGTATTGCTTGAAGTCATTAACCTCTGTGAAAGAGGTCGAGAGAATCCATCGATGATGTGTTACCTATCCGAGGTTATACATCAGAATACTACTCGTTGACATTAACTTATATGGAAGATGTCAAGAGAATCCACTAAAGATGTGTAATCTATCTGAGATTGTATGCTAGAGAACCGCTGAATCACGTTAGGTTGTGTAGAAGAGATCAAAAGAATCCATCAACGATTTGTGACCTATCTGAGATTGTACATTAGAGTACAGCTCAAATATATTAACTTATATGGCAGAGGTCGAGAGAATTCACCAAGGATGTGTGACCTATCTAAGGTTGTATGCCATAACACTGCTTGATAATGTTAGGCAGTAGGAGATAGTAGTTAGAAAGATTATTGTCTTGCGATGGAGTTCAGAAGGACTGTAGAAGGTGATAGAGGTCGGAAGGACCGTACTCGGCATGAGACATGGGTCTAAAAGACTGTTGTCTGACGATGAAGGTTGGAAAGATTGTAACAGGCGACAGAGGTCGAAAGAATCATAATTGATAGGAGATAGGGGTTAAAAAGATTATTGTCTGGCGATGGAGGTCAAAAGAATCATAGTAGGCGACAAAGGTCGGGAGAACCATAATAGACAAGAGATAGGGGTTAAAAAGACCGTTGCATGACAATGGAGGTCAAAAGGATCGTAGCAGGCAAAAAAGGTCTAAAGGAGCATAGTCATAAGGTAGTGGTCAGGTAAAAGTTTAGATATTATTCAGTGGTCTAACAGAACTCCAACTTCTGTTGGTGGTCCTATGAAAGTTTGGGCCTCAGTCACTGGTCCAGCAGTAGTTCGGAAAAATGTCGGTGTTAAGCGGTGGTCCGGCGGAACTCTAGCGTCAAGTAGTGGTTCAATAGAACTCCAGTGTCAGGCGGTGGTCCTGTAGAACTCTGACATCTGCCAGTGGTCTAGTGGAACTCTGACGTCAGGCGATGGTCCGACGGAACTCCTGCGTCAGGCAATGGTCTAGCAGAACTCTAACATCAGGAAGTGGTTAGGCGGAAGTTCGCCGTTAAGTGGTGGTACGATAGAACTCTGACGTCAGGTGGTGGTCTGTAAGAACTCTGATGTTGGGCAGTGGTCCAGCGGAAGTCCAACGTTGGGTGGTGGTCCAGTAGAAGTCTGGGCGGTGGTCAAGGAGGAGCGAGGAGGCAAGAGCTATCTCTGATCTCTCTCTTGCCCTCTTGCTTGGGATGTCCTTTTCAAGAGAAAGGAGGGGCCTATTTATAGATTTTTCATAGTGGCATGGCCCATAAATAGGAGGAAGCTAAGGGGTAAATGAGGAGTGGTTTGGATGGATGATCGATGTTGAATCCCTTCATCATGGACCATTCACTGGACAATGAAGGTCTTAGTGATGGTGGAATTTTGTGATATTGGGCTCATTGGATTCGTCGCGTTGAGCTGCTCGATTCGACTATAAGCATGTCACATTTGGAAACTGTTTGGTAAACCAAATTGTGGTTTGAACCTTCCGACGGTGATTCGGGTCCTTTATTTGGACCAATTTGGGCTCAGATTGAGTCGAATTTGGTGTCGTTGGGTTTGTATTCTCGATATGTTCAGTTCGACTATAAATTTGCTGAAATCAGAGTTCAGATGATCTTGAATTTAATTTTGAAAGTTTCAAACTTGATTTTGTCTCGAGATTTGTTCCCAATCAAGATAATTATTTGAACAATGCATGAATTATTACTTTTATTATCATTATTATTATTATTATTATTATTATTATTATTATTATTATTATTATTATTATTATTATTATTATTATTATTATTATTGTTGTTGTTGTTGTTGTTGTTGTTGTTGTTGTTGTTGTTATTATTATCAAACTTAATACAAATCTTAAAGCTAGTAAATATCAAATTTAATCTATGTAATATTAAACTTCAAAATTTTAATTCTATTTTAATATCAAACTTAATTAATTGTAATTTAAACTAATTTCAAATTTGATATATTTCATATTAAACTTAATTATAAATAAAATAATTTATTTCAAATTTTTAAATTTCAAAATTATTAATTCTAATTATTCTTAAAACTTAAAAAATAAGGGTTTTCTTCTGAAAATGCAAAAAAGCTTGAGTTAAAGAAAAACGTAAAAAATTTAATAAGTGATATATCATCAAAAAATTATCTTGATGGGGCACGAATCTCGAGGCAATATCAAGTTAGAAACTTAAAATATTAAATCAGAGACTATCTGAACTCTGATTTTAGCAAAACTACAGTCAAATTGAACGTCTAAGAAATTCGAACCCAACGACAGCAAATTCGACCCAATCTAAGCACAAATGGGTCCAAATCGAAGACCCGAAGCACATTCAGAAGGTTCAAACCATGATTTGGATTACTAAATGGTTTCCAAACATGACATTCTTATAATCGAATCGAACGGCTTGATGAGACAAATCCAATGAGCATAAGATCAATGAATTCTGATATCATTAAGATATTCAAATGTCCAATTAATGATCCACAATCAAGGGATTCAACATCAGCCGTCCATTCAAACCACTCCCAATTTACACATGATTTTCCTCCTATTTACTGATCATGTCACTCTTAAAAAACTATAAATAAACTTCTCATTTCTTATAGAAGGGGATCCCCAAGAGGGGAGGAGAAGGAGGCATAAGTAAGAAGAGAATGAAGAAAATAAAGAGAAGGAAGAGAGCTCTCTTGCCACCAAACTCTTCCTCGATCACAATTGGAGATCCACCCGGCAGCCTACCGACACCAGAGTTCTACCTGAACGCCAATTGACGCCGGAGTTCTGCCCGACAGCAGCTAATTTTGCCCAGAACGGCATGGTGACTGCTAACAGTGGATTCATTCAAATTGGGTCAAACCTCATGATTTTTTTCCTTTTCAAGATTTTCAACGTTAACAACTTTGTGTCTTATGAATGTTGCACTCACTCCTTTTATCTGATTGCGTGTTGGATCTTCGTACAAAGTTAAAACATTAAACTTTATATATATATCTCTACTGTTGTGAACACTCCAGGACGCAACAATAAGAAATGCAAAATTTTTTTGCATTTTCATAAATAAAATGCAAAAAACTTTATGTATTTTTGACAAAGCATTTTTTTAAACATAAAATACCACACCTTATTATCTGTATATCAGTTCTAAATTTTCTCCTAATCACATTTCTTCAACTTATTCTTCAAATTTGATCGTTTTGAAAATTTGGCCCGACGGGAGACTCCAAGTCAAAACGTTCAGCTGGGATACAGAATAAAGAATTATTCGGTTGGGCTCGAGTGTAGCATTACTCTCGTTTATTTATGCGCCGGCTAGTAATCATAGCTGGGCATTTTTTTTTTTTTTTTCGGCACTGGTCGTCATTTTACAAGAACGCCCATCTCCCAGTCTCAATCACCGGCTGTTATCAATAAACCTCGTGCTGGAGGCCGCAAGAAACGTCACGTGGCGGTGGTCCGGGGGACAGTTCGCCGGCAAAGGCCAACATTAGTCACATGTCTGTCCCCTGTGGGGTCCATCCACTGCCTCGCCCCGGAAAAAAGTTGACAGCTTCTCCACCAACACAAAACCGCGGGCCCTACTTCTCTTCTCGCACCTCTCACTAATTTTGCCCTGAACGGCGTTGTGCCTGCTAAGCTCGGCTCAGCTAATAATGCAGTCTGCAGCATCTGGGCCGTTTCAAGCCTGCCGCGATGGCCTGAGAGACAGCGCGAACCGACAGTCGGTCCCACGCCGCCAGGCCCCGTGGTTATTCCCGCAGGCACACGCTCCCGGCTATCCGCCTGACGCGTACACTCCTCTAACGTCCGATTTTGAACACGTGTCAATCATCCAACGGTGAATAGGAGTGGCGCTCCAATCTTATAAACTGGCGGAGCGCGCCATCGGCCTTGACCTTCTCTGCGTCGGGCCAACGTAGTTGTACTCTGTTGCAAGTGGAAGTAGAAAACCTAACCATAAAGGATAAGAGAGAGGTGAAGTTGGGTGAGATGTCGGCAGAGACGGCAAAGAGCTCAACGGAGTCAGATGTATCTGGCCTTGATTATGAGGAAACTGAACTGAAGCTTGGCCTTCCGGGGAGCTCCCGTATCGCCGGATCGGAGCTGGAGAGGAAGCGCGGGTTCTCTGAGACTGTCGATCTGAAGCTTGGTGGCTCTGGAGGATGCAATCTTGACTATTTGACCGCAGAGTCATCCGACACACGTTCTTCCGGGGCCGGCAAGCTGCCGGCTAACAAGTAAGTGTTGAATCCACTTCAGATTTAACTTGTTTCAGCTTTGTTGTTGATTTGATAGTGACAATTGGTAATTTTTCTCTTGTAACTTGGGATTCAGGGCGCAGGTCGTTGGGTGGCCGCCAGTGAGGTCGTTCCGAAAGAACGCGCTGAAGAGTTGCACGTATGTGAAGGTAGCTGTGGATGGAGCGCCATACCTTCGGAAGGTGGACATAGAGATGTACGGAGGGTATCAGCAGCTGCTGAATGCGCTCAAAGAGATGTTCTCCTGTTTTACTATTCGTAAGTTTCTTACATCTACTGGGATGAAGGGAATTTGTGTTTAGTTTGCTAGAAGCATGATAATTTGGGACAAATTTTACTTGATTCTGGGTAGGTAACTCGCCAAACAACAACGAGAGGAGGCTGGTTGATCCGCTCAACGGAACAGAGTATGTGCCGACATACGAGGATAAGGATGGTGACTGGATGCTTGTTGGTGATGTTCCATGGAAGTAAGTGAGTTCTTCGTTCATTTGTGTGTTTTGTCGGTTCATGCAATATTTTAGTTTGTGGAACTTTGTTTATTATTATTATTTTTCCTTCATGTTCACTATTATAGCTCTGATTGCATCATGTGTTTCTTAACGGATCTGATGACATACTTTGTAGTTATGCAATGAGGATAGGATACACCGAAGCTAACTTTTTGTTTGATTGAGCTAAAGTATAATTTTCGAATTTGTAGTTTTACATCCCAATTTAGGTAGTCAAGGGATATTATTTGTTATAGATGATTTCTTTGCTAGATTGGTTCCATAATATGTTGAAAAGTTGATCATATATTAGTCTGATAGTAAGATTAGGGTTGTCTTGGGATGATCTGGTTGCTTTACCATATAATTGCACTATTATTGGGTACTATTTAATTATTTTCATTTTTTTATTTTTATTTGGAGCTTTCAGGAAGTTTTGGCCTGTTTGTTAATATCATGTGTATCATACTAACCTGGTGATCATGCCTTAGTGCATTTGAGATCTTTCTATTCATGATTTGAATGAAAGATGCCATTACATATTTCTTTAAATTGGTTTATACACCTTATTGATTTTCTAATGGGATAGCTAGGATTAAAAGTGGTTATCAAGGTTTTCAAAACAGGACCGGATAATGAACTAGAAGGAGAAATTCACGGTTCGACCAGTCGAACCGGTCAAATCAGGGTCTAACATGATGACGTAATAAATAATAATAATATTTAACATTACAAAAAAATGAGAAAATTTCCTCTAATACCTTCACTCTAAATTCCATTTTCATATCAAACTAATCAAAGAATATAAATATGGTATTAATTAAACTTACAAAATATAAATAAATAACACAATATAAATGTGGCATCAAGTAATTCAATAAAACATAAACAAATATTTCACAAAAAAGTAAATAACTCACCAAACGACACACCTTGTGGCTCCAGGTTTCCATATCTTCAGTTTTTTTCTGTAGCATGTGAAACTGTTAAAAAGAAATGAACAAAAAAAATTCTTGAGATCTTACAGTTTCTATCTCCTATCAGTGAAACTTTGAAAATAAAATAAATATAACATACTCATCATAATTGTGCACATAATATGAAGTAAATAAGCAAAAGAACTGAAGATGAGTTATCTATTATAAGATATAACAAAGTCAATGGATAGAATGAATTACTCTCATTTATCAAAAATTAAATATGGTAAAAGATGGTTTGAATATATTATGCATCAAACTACAAAATTTTCTAAACATTCTGAATCTATCTAAGATTTATGGCTGCCTGATTTCTCCTTATGAGAATTAAAGAGATTTCCCGATGGCTTTTCTGTGGAAAGCCAAAACAAATATGATATGTCGAATACATCATGCATGCATGATTCACAAGTGTACGTGACATTTCCCGATGGCTTTTCTGTGCTAATGTTTTGGAAATTAAAATTCAAATGTTTAACATAGATAACTTGCTATCATGGATCTAAATTTCAAACTTGAGAATAACTATGGGATTAGATTCATATATAGCCATGGATGTGATTTGGAAAGTGTCGTAAAAAAAGATGTCATTGGAAAAAATTGAAAAAGTGTAATTCTTTATTCCGTCATTGACTTTTTACTCTCAAATGTCTACGGTAAGCATTCAAAAGGACTTTTTATGGAGCCAGAAAATAAAATTCTAGCATTTTATATTCAAAAGTTTCAATAGAAGCCAAATGAATTAGAAGCTTGGAGTAAGACTTGCAACCTTTCCATGAACTAATTTAGCATTTCTACTTATAAAATAGCAACACAAATAGCTATTCTCATAGGGTTAAATTATATCACTGGTCGTTATCTTAAATGACAGAGATGAGAGAAATGGAATTAGGAATTTCGTAATCAACCTGTGTCGGGATCTGGCTAGTCCGAGATCAAAGTCGGTTGCCAAAGGTGAGTCGAAGCAGGTGAGCTCGTCAAGTTAGCTGTGCCCGGAGCTAGGAGGTTGGAGGAGGCCTTCTGCTTCTCGCCTTCTTCTTTGGTTGGACCAATGGAGGAATCAAGAGGGAGTCGAAATCAAGGTTTGCGTATGTTAGGGAAGACAAGCGAGCGGGTAATAGCTTGTAATCAAATCCCTACTCCATTCGAACGCAAATGGACGGCTTTGATTTGAGATTTTAAGAACTGTCTGTTCTTTTAAAACCGCACAGTTCGACGTTTTCTCGATTCAACCGGGTTCATGACTGGTTTTTTGCCAGTTTTGTGTACAGCCGGTTATCTCAGCTGATCGGACTGCCCGCCGGACCAGTTCATGTTTGAACCGGTCGAACCGGCTGGTCCGGTTTTGTTTTTAAAACCATGGTGGTTATAAGCTACTTTCTTTTTATTTTCAATGGATTTTAGTTGCTTTAAACCTTAGCCATTTATTTATGTTGATGGGTAGTGTAAGTTGCACAAGGAGAATGTATTATTTCCTTTTAAAGGATAATCCTCTAGTAATGTATAAATAGTTATATTATTTTGAGATAATTCCACTCAATCAATTTGCTAGGGTTTGAAATTGGTATTTTGTAAGTTTCTGTAATCGATAGAGTTAAGTTCTATTGTGAGTTAGATTGTTCATTTTAATCTTTACATTAGAATAAGATTACTAATCTATCATATCATCCTTTCTTTCAAATGATTATATAGGACTTCTTAAAGTAATTGGGTAGATTCATATTGATTACATCAAATTGTAGTTCAAACTACTGTATAAAGATTGTACAAAACTAGGTTAATTGAAGTTTCAATATGAAGTAGCGACACTTTAAATGGAAGTTGTCTTATGTTTGACAATTCTTGGATGATTTGCATTCAAACGCTTACAAATACCATTTCAAATATGTCATGGAATGTGTCTATTTTTTATTTCTTTCTTAAATTTGTGACATTAGGGCAACCTTTGGACCCTTTTTGGATACTTCTAGGGAGCTTCATTTGGGAGGTATTGGACATTACACATAAAATTGTGTCACTTTAATCAGCTTACGTACCTAATCAATCTTATTTTGAATTCTCCCTTCATTATTCTTCTAACTGTTAATATTCCTCTCTTCAAGTATTATGAAGTGTTGAGCTTTACTATTTGATATTAAATAATAGTGTTTTTTTACTTATATTATTTATTATATTCAACAATACATGTTATAATTATGAATGATAAAAATTTAAGATGTTATTAAAATTTATATTTAAACATCTCTGCTCATTGTGACCTGAATCTTAGAAATTAACTTCTTCCATGTTTTGTTTGCCTCTTATGTTTATGCAATATAGATTAGTAAACTAACTTATCTTTAATCCATAGAGGATTAAGATTAATGCAATCTAAAAAATTTGGATTTTGCATGGAAAGCATGAATTTGGAATGTAATAATTTTTCCCAGTTAAGTCTGATGATTGATCGAGAGTTAAAGGAAGGTAAAAATAATGAAAAGATAATAGATCAGGCTCAAGGAAACTTCAAATGAGCATTCTCTTTTGAGGTCTCTTTGTTAAAATATGCAAAGAGAAATGGTTTTTGCTAACTTCGTGCAAAGATAATGTGTGAAGCATGAGTTCCATGATGAGCCTGAATGAATGGGTTGAGCATCCTAAGTATGAAGTTATTATAGTGCACCTAAAATCCCAATGTCTACGACATAATTGAAGGAAAGGAATTGAAGAATTTAATTTTTTTTAATATAGAATCACAATTAAAATGTTCTCATGTAGGATTTCCACTTTATGAGGACATGCTTAAAGGAGAAAAGAAAGAACTAGGCAAGAAAGGGTGAATGCAAAAGAGTATAAAGGGTGATTTGTATGGCTATTTGGTTGGGGTTTAAGTCAGGCATAAGCTAGTTTAAACCCTTAAACCCAATGAAATAACTTAAAAACACCATCTATAAACTTGATGGATGTAAGCTCAGCATGTATCCCAAGTGGGGATAAGCCATGCAAACTTTAAGAACGGTTGAGCTTGTTAGTGTAGCTGGTCTTTGATATCTCTTGTAAGTGCCACTGACAACATTTCTCATTCAGTGAGCATGAAGTTTGCACACACATCCCTCAAGAGCCCATTATAAAGATTATCACATGATTAAAATGCTCATGCAAGATCTACACTGTAGAACATGTCTAAGGATAAAAGAAAAAAAGGAAAGAGTTTGGGAGGAGAGGGAGGATGGGAAAAGATTAAAAAGGTTCATTGATGCATAGAACTTGTTTGGTTGGGGTTTAAGTTAGGCATAAGTTGTCTTAATCCCTTCAGTCCAATTAAATAACATGAAAATACCATCCATAAGCTTGTGGGATGCAATCTACGCTTTCGGTCCTAGTGGGCATAAGCAAAGGTTGCAAAATTGATATTTACTTAGCTTATCTTCATGATCTCTTCTCATGATTTCTACCAATGACTTGCTACTTCCCCCAAGCATGAAGTTCACGGGCGCATCCCTGATGAACTCATCCATGTGTTTCTTCTTCCATTATCCTTTGTTATCATGAACACCATTTACAAAGTCAATCTCTTTGTGGTTGTTATCATCTCCACCTTAAACTCTTCCCTTCCTTTGCACTTCGTATGCAAACTTGTTTGCCATAACCATGGATTTCTTTAGTTATCTCTTGTTGCCTACATAGAGTATCCTCATTGCTTTTCACGCTATTGGCAATGTTATAAAGAGGAAACAGTGTCACACTTTTTGCACACTCAAACACTACTATGAATAGTGTATCTCACAACCATTGATTATAGCCAGTTTAGATTGATGCCAAAAGCTATCATGCATGCCTTGTTGAAGCTTAATTTTTTTTGAAGGAAGCAAATATTGCATTAAAGAAAAAAGGAAATCCACCTGCAAAGAACCTCCTGTAGATTCCTCCTTCAAAATCTTAAGAAATGAAGGAGGAATCTTATCCAACACAATATCATCCCAAATAAAAGAAGAAAAAATAGCCAAGTTAGCACATAGATCCGCTA